ACACACACACACACACACACATATACTAGTAATTTGTAAGCTTAGGAAGTAATGGAGGGTGTTGTTAGTGCCTCTGGTGGCAGAGTAAAATCCAACAATATGAGATGCTCATGCTTATGGAAACTGTTGATGAGGACATTAGTGGCTTTGTTAAGTGTGAGTCTGGCAGAGGAACAGTGGCATTGGAAATCCCATCAATCTGCTGATTACAGCGCTGGTATTTTTAAGCTACCCTGTGCAGCCCTTTAAATGCTGTCTTCACTCAGAAGCCCAGTTACATTTCTCATGAATAATTCATACATTCAGTCCTGCTCTTACACCAGCCACACTGCCTATGTGTTAAGGTCACTGTTGTTTTCAAAGAAGAGTAAGTAAACCCCCTAATTACCTCTTGAACAAATAAGCAGCACAAGCAAGGGACGGTGTTTCAGATTTTTGTTGTGTGACGCCAGAGCTTTTAAAAAAAATGATCCTTTGTTTAGAAACCTTTGCTTCTCACTTGCCTTTATCCAGGGAAATGAGTAATTCGCAAACATCTAAGAATAGCAAACATAAGCACACTCTTCTAAAAATCAAATAAAAGCAGATGCTGCGTGAAGCCAAATTAAGAGGTGACACTTTTTTTTTTTCATGCACTACAATATAATGATTATCACCATGTGAAATAACTGCTAATTCTAAGTAACAAACCCATAATAGAGCCTGGTAATGAGTGAGAGACATTTACAAAAGACTTTAAAGGTACAGTGTGTAGAATTTTGTGATATCTAGTTTTGAAGTTGCATGTTGCAGCTGAACACCCCTCACCTCACCCTCTCCTTCCAAACATGAAAAAGAAACTGTGGTAGCTTCAGTTGTCATAAAAACTCAAAAGGTGTTTAGTTTGTTCAGTCTGGACTAATGTAAAAAACATGGTGGCCTCCGTAGACAGGGTCCCCTCGATGTAAATATAAAGTATTTAAATATAAAGAGATTTTTCTAGGGTAAAGAAAAACTATAATTCACACAATTTGGATGAAATGAACTAGTGAAAATATCATGAGGATTATTCTACATTAAATCTGCCAATAGTTCCCTTTCACTTAAATCTTACACACTGGACCTTTAAGGGTGATTCATTTATGTCACTTATTGGGCCTCCAGGGAGGAGGCATGGAGGTTCAGCAGTAGACAAGCTGTTACCTGGGCATATTTGCCAAACCCCTGATAACTGTAAAATCTGCACTCAGACACATTTGAAGCCAGTGATTGCATGTAGAATAACGCTGAGGCTCTAATTAAAAACTTTTCGTGCCTTCTCTGTGAGGCGTTTATTTCTGTTAATCACTGGAAAAGAAAGAAAGAGAAGCAAGAAGAGTGGTATTTTTTACAGAAAGTGCAGTGTCAGTTGGCGCATCGAGAAAAGACATATTCATCACAGCACGTAATGACAATCCCAGACCTATTCATAGAAAAATAAGTAAAAAAAATTGGCACTTTCCAAGTTTTGCACATACAGTGTGGATCAAAAACAAATTCATGCACATAATCAGACGTCTTTTTCTGAAACCACTGGTCTTTTTTATTCATCGATAAAAAATATACACTGGGGAAGATAGGCTTAATTTCTTCCATCTTCCTCATCATATTCCTCTGTTGACGTATTTATTAGTTTCTACTCAGAAAAGATAACAGTCCTCTCACGACTTCAGTCCAGTGGGAAACAAAATGCATAATGAAATATAAATTTCCATATTTACAGATATCAGCGGAGTTAGAGTGAGAAACAATGGAGGGGTGGGGGGGCTAGGTCTAATTATTAACTTGTCACTCATCAGTGTTACCAAGGACTCCTCTTTAGTGTCACTCTCAGTCGCATTGTTCCTGTACCTTCTTTCCACTTCTGTCTTTGTTACAGCTCAGAAGAATTTCTGGCAGCCCTTCTCTAATGCAGCAACTTTAATAAAATGTCACGTGTATCCATTATCATGAGCTCTGCTTACTGTTCTCTGCCTGATTAGAGTCCGAGTGCTGTGCGATATGGGGCAATATTAACGACATTAAACTGACGTAAAGTGACTGTGGTTAGTTGTTTTTGTTAGACAACAGAAACAACTATTATGGCAACTGTATGGACCCGGGAATTGAACTGCCGTGATCTGAAATTGATGCAAGAGAGCAAATTAAAAACTGAAGAACATTTTGTATGCTTCATTTTCTCATCTCATTTTCACATTATTAGTGGAACTAAATGAGTTAAATAAATTCAGCTTGTCGCAAAAAACCACGTACTTCACATAAAATTGAATGTGTGTAAAATAGAGAGAAATCATAGTACCAAAGCTTCACTGCTGCCAGAATGTTTGTCTGTAGATTTGAATTACAGTTGGAGGCTGTCAATGGAATGTCTCGGAAAGAAAATGACAAAGTAGTTGCCTAAACTTGACACATTGTTGACACATAAACAAACATGTTACCGAGAGATGAGAGACACGATGTCACACATGATCATGAAGTCAATTAAATTATCCTCTGTTCTTGTTATCATTGAACTATGAAAATGCTTTTAATCAACATTGATGGCAGCAATAGGTGGTAATTGAGAGAAAACCCATGGGGTCATCAGGTTCTACTGACACGTTGTCAAGTATTTATAGCGTAGCTGGGATAATTCATGTTATGTTGCCTGGTGATAATCAGCCAGTGGATGAATTGAAAGATTGAAACCAGCAGAAATGTTTAAGACTTGATGCCGTCAAACCCTCTTCTAGGCTTTTGTGCGTGTGACAGGTCTGCTAGTTGGAAAATATGGGTAAAGTGAGAACATGTTAAGTTTTTCAAATAACAACCCAAATTTGAATTATGAACCTGTGTTATAATATGATAGCTTGGGATGAGTTAGGATTGTGCAGTAGCGAGTTTGTTCTAGGTTTTGACTCAGATCATGATCATGCAACTGGAATGTGGATTAGCTAATTACCCAGGAAGCTGATGTTTCAGGGTCCTATTCACACTATGTGCATGTAAACAAATTAAAGGAACTTCATTTCAAATTAAATTTGACTTTAAAGACTTAGTTAATAATAATAAAAAAACATTTTAGGGGAAGGCTCTGTAACTTATTTCGACTGTGCAGCTGTCAGTAAGACCGTCCGCTTTCTCTTTGTCTATGCATATCACATATATCACAGCAGCCTCATGATTGTTTTAATAATTTGCAAAACAAATCAATAAAAGATAATTTCCCATGAATCGACCAAGTGCAGACTGGTGACCTAAACCTCACACACTGGGTCATCGTGCTCCAAACCAGTTTGTTGTGGCCAGACGAGCTGTGCAAGGTTCTTAAATGACAGCATGAGTGTCAGCAACAGTGAAGATAAAGAGCAGAATCCTTTGGGCTCAGGACTAGCTGTACTTTTCACACTAACCTAACAAGCACAGCAGAGGGAGAAAAGTGTATGCACATTTACTTTTCATTTGAAAACACTTGTCTTCTGTCATTTAGCATTCTGTCCCTCATCACAGCACTCAAGCAAGGGTATTATCCCAGTTTCCTCTCAGCCAGGGTGTGTTCTTCTCTGCTGTTGGATCAAAATGGCTTATCCACAGATTAAACACGATACCACAGTTCCTGATTGCCAGTCTTTCGCTGCAGTAAATTTGCATCCTTGCACTTTAAATGGCACAAGTAAAAGTAATTTTCTTCAAACAATCTGGCCAAAAGTTGAAAAAAGAACTTTTGGATGATTTCTTCCGGATTCTGGGTTAGCTTGGCCTGCAGCCAGCTATTCTCCTACTATTTGTTCCTGTGTTTCCCTCTCTGGGTGCCAGTCCTCAAAGTCAGCATAGTTTAATTCGGGCACTCCCGCTGTCAGGCCCAATGAGCTGACTGACCCGGCCAAGGAGCCAAGGCCTTCATAGGCGTATGTCTGAAGCGAATCATACGGTGGGCCCCGAGTGTCACAGTCCGCTTCAGCCACCTTTTGCTGGAGGATCTGCTGAATTATGTCGTGACCATCCAGCAGAAGCGAAGGCGCTGATTGGCTGAGCTCTCGAGGAATGCAGTCAATGATAAACCAGGCAGGTTCTGACTCTGGGCTGTACTTCCCATAATCTACCTGCTGAGCTTTCCTCCTCCTCACCACCACAGACCCCTCCTCATCATCCTCGACCTCGTCGTCCTCTCTGCATAGGCTCGGTCTGTGGCCGAGGTAGGCGTGGAACTTCCTGTGAGGCTCGGAGACTTTGGGATTTCGAAGGGCAGCAATGTCAAAAGCCTCGGTGTCCTCCTCCCCGCCTCCTTCGTCGTCATAGGTCACCACATTTTCTCTGATGTCCTCTTCAGACAGAATCAAGGGTTCTTTGCTCGCCTTTTTATTTCGCAGTTGTGTGAACAGAATCACTATGGCTAAGGAAAATGGAAAGGGAAAGGGAAAAAAAGGATTAAAGGAAAAAAGATGATATACAAAGATTATAAAAGAAAACCAGGGACATTCAAAACAATGTAATACAAATGAATGCAAAATATTAGTGGATTAAGACACACATCATAATACTTGATAAACCATGTGCTTCATTCCTTTTTAGGAGATTATTTAAGAGAATGTATCATAGTCTACAAAGTGTTCAGTCTACACCAGGCTGTGTCGAGCCACGTAACAAGTTTATTCAATCAATCGTGGAAATATTCTATTCCTCTTCATCTGTCATTTGAGCACCGTGAATATTCTACCAGCTTCACCTCTGCACCATCTCAATTCCTGAACTGAATCCAAAGTCAGGGGCCACATCCTTCTTAGACCGAGTAGACCATGTAGGTCTTACTGAAATGATACGGTCTGGTCTATGGAGGATTCCCTCTATGTGTCCCCAGCTGCGCCTCTTTGAAACGCCAGAAGAAATGTACAGTACTTCAGATTTAGTCCATCTGCATTCAAACACATGCAAGATGTTGAGGATTTTGTTTCTGGAAAGGATGACTTGCAGAAACATCACTCACTTCCATGGGGATGATTTGGATGAAGTCTGGTTGACACTCCATGATGCTATGTGCATGGATGTAGTGAAACAACGAGGAGTCTGCCTTGCGACTTTTCATTATGTAGTGGATTTTCTTAAAGAAGACCAGGGAGAGCACTTGAGAACCATGTTGCCAGACAACACCAAACTTGTGAAACTCTCACTGTCCCTGTAGCATCCTGCAGCTAAGAAAGGTCATTTTCAGGCCAGTGGTGTCCTAAAACCTATTTATGGTCAACAGTGGGGCAGGCAAGACTGAACTATGTTGCTGTTCTGAACTGTCAATAAAGAGGAACATGGATGCAATTGCAGATGAATTCATCAAGTGCACGGCTGCAAGGTGTATAAATTATTTAGCAGTTGTGTGTGGATCTATGTGTTTATATGGTAAATGCTTTGTATAGAACGTTTATCGTCTTGTGGTCACCAAAGTCAGTGTGTTACAGTACAATACTTCACACACCCATTCATACAGTGCATCTATGCAGCACTTTTTCTATGACGGGCCATTTAGGGTTCAGCATCTTGCCCAAGGACACTTCGGCCTGAGCCACATGAGGTTAATTGACTATTTTACAGTGTACTTGTATGCTTTCTTTGCATGTGTAATAACTAAAGGAAGCCTGTTATAACATGCTTGGCTTGTAGAATATAGCCTACTGCTATGTTGTGGATAATGATTGTTGTTTGGCTTGTGGCCCATACTGTTGTACTGTGTTGTTTATAGGTGTATTTTAAGAGCGGAGAGCCACAGTGGTGTCAGATTGGTTTTGTTCACTTGGCCTTTGACTTATGTTAATTTGAGCCTTTTTACTACAATAATTCCGGCTGCATTTGTTATTCCTGTGTATTTCGTGGTGTGTATCATTAGTTAAACTTTAAACTTCTGTTTTATTAAAGGGTTGATAGTGATAGAATAAGGAGTGGAGCTGTCCATGGTGCTGAAAGCTACATCATGATTTAGTGACTTCCAACAACTTCAGTTTTGTGCAGGTGGGCTATGATTTATCTTCATGATAATCTATTGTTACAGAATCATTTTGGTGGCATCGAGTGTAACTTTTGGGGAGGCTCAGGGGTTAGAGCAGTCGTCCTCCCAGTCTTCTCTAGTCCGCCTGCCGAAGTGTCCTTTGGCAAGATGCTGAACTCCAAATTGTTGGCTCCCCTGTAATGTCCCATTGTGCTGAAATGCATAAGTTAGATAACTTTTCAAATAAGTACAGCAACAAATGTTGTAGGCTATGGTTTTTGCAGGGGTTATCTCCGTCTTAGGAGTGGGGCGTTCAACAGTTTTGAGCGCCCGCAGGCAGAAACATACATCAGCGCCTATGGTTGCATGCTTCTTTGAGCTGCCTCACTTGCTGCAGCTTGCCTCATTATCAGAAGCTATCAACCCTGGGATATATGTTGGCTGAAGAGGCACCCGCCCTTTGGATCTCTGATTGTTCAGCAATGGAAGGACTCATTTGAAGAAGCCTTTATATGGGACAAACTGGTTGTGCTGCTCTGACGCCATCAAATGCAGCCATAGTCATCTCCTATCAAACCCTCAGATCAGAAGCCTTTCATGAGACATCCCCATCTCATGCTTCATTTCTTATCACTATCACCAGTGTCTGGGGTAGTGTCCCTACTATTCCAAGCAACCAATTCATAGTTCTACTTCCTACAGTGTTCTACTACCTGTTGAGATGTAAGTGTCAAGTAAGTATGGTACCTGAGGTAATATGTTTTTAAGCATGAAAGGGAGAGTGGGAAATACATGCAGCAAAGGGCCGCGAGTTTCCCCAGTTCCTTTGGAAGTGTTTCATTGTATAAATTGTGTATATTAAAATAATCTTTGCTAAAAAAGTCATTTCACTATCAAGTGGTTGTATATGTTGGAAGATGAAGTAAACCTTACTGACAGGGACTAGTGAATAATAATAATGACTAGAAAAGATGCAGATAAAGTGGGGTTCCCTTAGATGGACTGAACTTCTGACGTATGCTCAACTAACAAGGAGCCTGCACTTTCCAAGAACCATTCAACACCTCAAGATCCCTCTACAGCCTAAAGACAGGAACCATTAGGATGCATGAAGTCATCATCATCACACATGAAAGCTATAAGGGACATCAGTGAGAGAGCAAGGACACTGGAGCAGAACCTGGATCAACATTAAAAACGGATCAAATCAATCTATGTCCACCAGACCAAAAACACTCAGCATCTGGAGGAAGGCCATTTATATCCAATGCAGTGGAGAACCTGCCCATCTGTTACGTCACAGCTGAAGTTCCATACATACTCAGATCACATAATGAACCAACTCCATGACCACCGATCAAAACCCAATTTCTGAAGAAAAAAGCTAAAATATTTTTTGTTACATACCTAATGAGCTGTTTAGTTTATAGAAAACCAAATGTTTCACTCTGTAGCTGATTTGTTGATCTTCTTAGTTATCATTCTGCCATAACTTTTCTTTATAGTCAGTTACTGGACAAATTGTATTTGTTTATTACTGTCTTGCCCTCAGAACAATGCAGCAAAGCTGTTTGCTCGATACAAATAGATGGAACCTCCGAAATGTCTAGTTGAATTAATGGACTAATGCTTTACTATCGGAACTGATGGCCAGGAAATCCATTGGCATATTTGTACATGACGTTTGCAACCACTAACTTACCTAATAATATGACGATACACAGCAGTATGGCAACAAAGGCCCCGGTGCTGAGACCAGCTGAGGACAGGAAGGCCTGAGCCTGACAGATGTTGTTGCTGTTGCGACCCTTGGTGTTCGCCTGACAAACACACACCCTGAGGGAGAGTGTAGTGGTGCTGCTTAGAGGAGGCTCGCCGCCATCGGCCACCACCACCAGCAGGCTGAAGAACTCCCGGTCTCTGTCCTGGCTGAAACCTTCCCGCCGACGAGAAACTATACTGGCAGTGTTATCTGGGCAAGGAAAAGAGGGTGTATGGAAGATGATGGTGAAGGAAGAAAGATAACAGAATGATAGAAGAGAGTTGGAATGATGTGAGAGAGATGTGAGAAAGGTGTTAGAAAAAAGAAACTTTAAGCAAGTACATAAAAAAAGTGTTAGTTTAATCACGAAGCTCAGTAAGAATAGGCCCCATAATCACGGACCACTCCACATGATTTTGTAGAGCACAGTAGGAGCAGGGCACATCGATGACTTTAATGACTTAAATGGGTTATTTCAGACATACAAGATAACAAAGTACAAAGGTGCTTGTTATCAGTAAGTATTGCAAATTATGGGCATTTAATACAATTGTATTGATTTTTAGATTACTAACAATTATTAATAATATATGATCTCTACCAAAGAATTAAAAAGTAATGTGTTCCAATTTCAGTCATCCTGGGAACAAATAATAATCTTTGGAGAGATGTTGTGCCTTTAATGCTGTTCTTTCCTGGAGGGCTTCTGTTGCTTTATGCTGGAAAATTCCTCTCCTGTCATTTTCTCATTAGGTATCTGGGTAGAAAAACCTGTGTTCATACTGTAGTAACATCTATACATATAATCTTGCCCACATTTTTTGAGCCCAGGCAGCCACAGACATACCAGCGCACTGCATCTTTAATGACCATTGCTGGTTTACACCAGACAAGTTGATCCAAACTCAATTATTTTGGCTGCATCTGAAACAAGTTTTGTACTTGGAACCTGTCTGCGTCCTCCTGGTGTCAGAATCACTGTTTTACAATGCAGTTGAATCAACATTAACCACATATTATACATCATAAAGATCTCCATATATAACAGGATTGCACATATAGAGCATGAGTTATTATATATGGTGCTTGTGGTGTGGGAGCAGTGCTGGTTGTAGAGTCAAACAGCAGCAGGTCCTCCCACCACCTCTACTGATCATTCAAATCATGAATAGAAATGCCACGTTCCTCTTTAGCACTGTAGCTAAGCTCCCGACTCTATTGAATATACTCCTCAAAGGATCAATGACTTCATTAGATTCTTCACAAAAAAACTAAAACCATTAAAGGAAAAAAGAATTCATCATCTCTTTTACACGACTGGCACATATACAGTGATGTCCTTGATGCATCTAGCTCATCGTTTTTAATTATACATGTAAACTGAAACTGAGAATACAATTATTGTACCTTGATTTAGTTTTTAATCATGTAAAGGGACTTTTACACATGAAGGAACATCTGTCACATTCATGTCCTCTGCAAACTAGTTAACACGGTGTTGATTAAGCCTGTCACTGCCTGCTAAATCTCTGTGTATTTTCAGGTGTATGCCTAAAGCTGTTGTCTGCTGTGACATTTCTGCACAGTGCCATGGTATTTTATTTCAACCAGCAAATTTGTCAGCGCTGCAACTGTAACAACAGAGAACGCTTCAGAAATAAGGAGTGTATCAGAGCATCTGATGGAAAAAAGTGTCCAAGAATTATACAGTATCTGACCAGACACCATTCATCCTACATACCATTTATCTGAACTTTGGAGTCAAAATTTATTGCGAAAAAAAAATGTAAATGAGCCATAAACAACCCAACGTGTGTGTACATATATATATATATTTCTGTTTATGTCATTCTAAATGTCCTCAGGCCTGTTCCACCTTACATTCAACGCAGCGAGGCTGGTCACCCTACAAAGAATACATTGTGACAGTGGTTGAGAGAAGATACACAACTGTTAAATATGTATTAAGAGTGTGTCTTTACAAAGCATTGTGCAGCCCCACTGCCCTGGGGAGCTCCCAGCTATGATAAAGCACGTCAGCTAGCAGACAGAGGCGTGTATATATATGTGTACGCATTTGTGTGAGGAATTAGTAATGTATTCCGGCAGTGCCCGCTGGAGTCTGCACATCTTCATATCTTCATTTACATAGTGTGTCCTGTTGACATGCATGGAGCCTCTGGGTGAACACACGCACATGCGCCCACACACACACAAACACACACACACACACCTCAGGCATCTTAATTTATCATAGGACATGACTTTTGTCCTCAATTGGACAAGCTTGCCCCAATTCACTGGTATTTAGTTGGAAACAGAAAGAAGGAAACACACGTTACTTACTTTGATGACTTATGTTTATAACCCTACCCCGGCTGGTGCAGAACGCAGCTCATCTGTTTATTTGAAAAGTGTATTAATAGGTAACCTAGGTATCCTATGACCACATCTCACCAAATTCAACACTGCACTTCCTCAGGCCCTAACAAGCCTGAATCATAGCCAATAAAACTGTTCACGAGATATATGAGCCACAGACAAACAGATATTTCTGAAAAATATAGTCATTAATAAGGGTTCTTCAGTGTCATAACCAGGATTGTGTTTTTAAATAACTTTAACATTAACATTATAAAGGTAGTCCAGTTACACTAGTAAAGTTCCACGCTATAACAGTCAGCTGTGTTATCAATATGATACTTTTCAGAGCAGCAGTCCAAGGATTGTGTAATAATGTATTTACTATAACATTTGAACTGTGTTATAATACTTTGCACAAATTTAACATTAAGTTGCAGAAAAACTCTAGTTGTTTATTAATGAGGTAGATGAGACTTCTCACGAGGTGTGATAACTGTGATCTTCACGGCCCTTGTACAACACACTGCTCTCACATGGCTGCTCTCTCTTGAATTCATACTTATTTTCAAACATTTTCTTTGTAATTATCCATTTACTGACCCAAAGAGGTCTTTGTTCCTTTTACTTTAAGTTGCTCATATAATAGTCCTGTGTCTCTGAAGTAAATGGTAGAATAGTTCTGGTTTCATGTACCCAAAAATATTCTACTAATGTAAAGAAATGTTTTCAATAATGTAGTTGCTGACAAAGATCATCCATATTGAGCCTTTATTGATGTGATTCTTTCTCAGCATATGATCAGAACATAGAACAAGAACACGCTGTATCCCTTTGTGTCGACCATGCTGTTTGTGTACACTGCAACAAGGGCGTGTGTGAGGTCAGGGAGGAGGAAGTGCTGACACTCAGGGGAAGGTTAAAGGACAAAAACTGAATTAGTAAACAACAAATAATTGGCAGAAAGTGGGGCAGAGGTGCGCTCTCTCAACTCCACCATCGATCCTCTCCCGACTGAGAGGTGGGTGGGAAGAGGAAGAGAAAGTGGTGATACACGAAGCACAAGTGTGATGATGGGAAACAACTGCTGCAGCCCTGGAGAGAGGGGGAGGAGGAAATATGTTCAAATGACAGATGGAGGGAGAGGAAAGAGAGGAAGAAACTGAGGGAGGAGTAAGGGGGGGGGGGTAGTGTGTGTGTGAAAGAGGAGAATTGAAAATGAGTGAAAGGAGGGAAAGAGTGAGGCCATTTCAGGAAAACAGAGTTGGAGCTAAGAAGCAGGAGAAAGTCGCTGGAGGTAAAATGAGGTTATAAAGCGACAGGATAATAGCAGTGCCCAGTATACCCACAAAATGATCCATATGGCTTATTAACACAAGCCGTATGATTCGATTCTATTTGATTTATACTCCAGTCTCTGCACAGGAAAAACAGCAGGCAAGAGACTGTAATATGTGTGTGTAATGGAGGTACGAGCAAAGCTGGTGTAAGCCCACATCATACCATGACAACTAGATAAGAGCTGCTTGTCTCAGTTTTTCATCCAACGTAGCTGTTCATCTTCAAGCATGGAGTCCAGAACATTACAAACCTCATTCAACTGGGACCCTACAGTTTTCCTAAATACCATCAATTCTCAAGTAATGGCTGGCTCAGGGTCCAGCTGTCTTCAAATAGCCCATAGCTGTAGATTTTATCAGCAGCCAGCTTGCAATTACTTCAGAGACCAAATCTACTTCTATAGATTTTTTATCTGATGTCTGACATCCGCGTAAGAAGAACATGTAAGTGAAAACAACTTCATCTTTAATTTGGCTTCATTAGGTTCCAGAGGTGACCGTGAAGAGGACAGGGGGAAGGAGGGAAAGAATCGACTGGGGCTTCATACAATATAGTTAAATCAACAGCACATGTGCACACGGAGATAATGTGAAAAAAGGAGGGGACAGGGACAAGGAGGATGGTGTAACTCGTCTTTTGCTTGAACAGAGAATTAGCTTTTCGTCTTTTTACAGTTTTTGTATGGACTAAGCCACTCGTCATACAGTAACAATAAATGCATTGTTTGGCCATCGGTAAATTAAATGCCATATAGACCTTAGTTAGCATATTCATTCAGTAATGCACCTTACTCACATGTGCTTTGAATAAAGTAGTAGCTAGTGGCTGTTCACATTTTGGAATTTTAAAATGATCAGTTTAATATTGCAGTGTGTGATCCACAAGGAATCTTAGGAGGGATTGAAGTCCCTGAACAAACCAGAGTTACCCCAGAAGCCTCATTAAACTGGTAAAAAACCATTAGGGTTTCTAATGGTTCAATGATGAGAAATATTTTAATAATAATAAATCAAATTTCACTGTCCAATCATCAGTCATATCGTTTTGCCGCTCAGACCTGTTCAGTACATCTGATTTCTTGCAACGAGCAATACGTGTAATGTCACTGATCTTGATTTGTGCAGAGGGCTTTCATACACTGATCTACTAAGATCCCACATAAAGAGGGCTAAAATGCATTTGCATTATTATAGATTGCACGTTTGGTTGATGGGTGTGTTGCAGGTGATCTACTTCCGTCATGGAGCATTACAGAGAGCAAAGTGACCGCAAGAGCAAAGTGAACTTTAATGCCATGGAATTGGAGGTGTTAGTGGAAGAGGCAAACAAACATTTTGTTGAGCTACAGCAAATAAATATGAATATATAGCAATATGGGAGAGTATCTGCGAGAAAGTAAATGCTGTGGGTAAAACAAAAACCGATGCAATTAACCGAAGATGGCAGGACACAAGAAGATTAAAAGACAAAATTGCTCATAATAAAACCTCAGCAAATAAAACAAATCA